GTGAAAGGAGAGAAATCAATCCCACACGCTGTCCTCGGCACATGCACACATTCACATAGGTACACATGTGTGTGTAAATATGTAAATAAGTAAACATAATTTTTAAAAGACTCTCTATTTTAAAATGTTAATAATGTGGTGTTTGCCAGGATAAAAGCAAAGATACTTATATGTCCAAAATACTATTTCATTTATCCACTGAGTACATTTCAATAATTAAATATGTGTGTGTGCACATTCATTTTAGAAGTTCTGTTTAGCTTCCTTCAAGTCTTTCCTGCCATTTCTGTCAATTTAATCATTTGTCCCTATATAAAATTTTACCCTTCTTCACATTTTCATTTCTAGCTAGTCTATATTCCGCATCAGCGTCTGAACTGCCTCAGGAAATGCCGTTACTTAGACTAGGGATTTGACTTCACACATCAGAGACCTCAGTAAGCAAAAGAGACCTTTTTTTGGCCGAATTAGGTGGTTCCATACTAGCATGGAATGTGGGAACCCACAATCAACAGGGTTTCAAGCTCCCCTCTCTCTCTAAACACAGCTCCCAACATTTCACCGTCTCCCACCATCTTCTCCACAGTGAAGACAGGAGACAGAGCAGAAACAGCTCTGCCTTTTGATAGCTGGCCTCACCATTTACACACATTGCTTCTGCTCATATTCACAGGATGAAAGGTCCCAAGACCGCATCAATGGATAATGTGGTCTAGGACATGTAATTATTAACCCTTGAAACTCCTGTTGCGGCTGATGGAGTATAAAATGGATGCTGGGGAGAAGTAGTGATACAAATCTCCTTATTTCTGCTGGTTATCCCTCATGGTGACTGGCCTTAGGTGCTTGATGATCCTTAATTATGAGCTTTATGGTTTGAACTGTTTTTTTTTTTTTGGGGGGGGGGGTTTCGAGACAAGGTTTCTCTGTGTAGTTTTGGTGCCTGTTCTGGATCTCGCTTTGTAGACCAGGCTAGCCTCACACTCACAGAGATCCACCTCCTCTGCCTCCCAAGTGGGGTTTCGACTGTTTTTGACAGAGCTCAAGAGGTTGTCTTCAGTTCAGCTTGCTCACCGCTGCTGGCCTGAGATTCTGAGTTTCAGTGATTCTCAAGACCTTTGCCCCTGGAGGGGACCCCACTGCTCCCGGTTCTGACTTCAGTGCTGTGTTGTTGGGTTTGGGGTTTAGTTTGACTTCATGAACAAACTAATGTTTATTGACTTTGTAAGATCCCATCAATACATCTAAGGTAGGCTTTACTTAGAATCTAGTTGTTTCATAGAAAAAGGATCCTTCAAGGAATGTGGCCCAGATGTTACTAAACCAGTTACATTCCATTCACTTCACTTGTCTTCAGGTCTGGCTTTCAAGCTTGCCGAACTCACCAGTTAACTTTCTTATCAGGGAACTTAATGGACGAATCTCTGTCTTCACATTGACACAGCTGGCCATTTATTATTCTTAAACCTTAAGTGAGCCAAACAGCACCTTGAAGACTGGGGACTGAAGAAAACAGACAAAAATCCTCAGTGAGGAAATGGGCAGCAAACAGTAAACATAAACCATCTGTTTTGACTGTAAGTGCTGTGGATGAAAACTGGACAGGGCGTGAAGACGGCTCTGGGAGAAAGATTGCAGTTCAAAGAGGGTGCGGGGTGGGGCGGAGCATGGGGTGGAAAGCTAGGCCTCACTGGAAAGGTGACATTGGAGCAATGCCTGAAGGAGGAAGAGACTACACAGGGAACAAACATTCCAGATAGTGACCGTAATCATGTCAAGGTCTAAAGGCAAGGCTGAACATGGAGGATCCATGAAGAGGAGGGGCACCTGGTGTGGCTGGGATGGAGTGATGGGAGAATACACTAGGAGATGATGTGTGTAATCATATATGTCAGTACTTGTGGAAGGTCAGTGCGTAAGGAAGGGCGGAGTCAAGGGAGACTCTGGCCTGCCATCCAAGGAGCAATATGTAATGGGACACAGGTAAAGCCACCGAACCTGTGGTGATACATAGATTAATAGAAATGAGTTGAGTTAAGTTATAAGAGATAGCTAGCAAGAAGCTTGAGCCATAGGCCATGCCGTGTGTAATTAATATTAAGCCTCTGAGTAATTCTATTCCTATCTGAGCCTCATCAAAGATGATGTTACTGAATCAAAGCAACTCTACATAAATGACAAATGTCTGAAGAGCCTTAAAACAAGAATAAAGATACCCGGGTGGCTGGGTGGTGGTGGTGGTGCACACTTTTAATGCCAGGACTAGGGTGGCAGAGGCACTATATTTTTTAAAAGATCTCTTAGGCCAAGCGGTGGTGGTGCACACCTTCGATCCCAGTGCTCAGGGGGCAGAAGTAGATGGTTATCTGAGTTCAAGGCCAGCCTGCTCTGAAATGTGAGTTCTAAGACAGCCAGGGCTACACAGAGAAACCCTGTCTAATAGAACAAATAAGAGCTTTTAGAATAAGGAAAGAAAAAGAAGATAGAATCAGAGACAGAAGGCAGGTAGAGGGATTGGACCACTCAGTACAGGTCAATGATGAATGTAAAAGGAAGTATGGGCAGAAAGTGGAACAGTTCTGGGAGATTTTAAAAAGGCCTAACTTTTGGATTATGGACATAGAAGGAGGAGAAGAACACAATTGCAAAGGCATAGAGAATATCTCCAATAAAACAATAGAAGAAATTTGCCGAATCCTGTAGATACAAGAGACCTGTAGAACTCTGAATAGACCGGGACCAGAAAAGCAACCCCCCCATGACAAATATACTTAAAACATTAAAAACACAGAATAGCTGGACGGTGGTGGTGAATGCCTTTAATCCCGGCACTCTCGAGGCCAGCCTGGTCTACAAAGAGAGTTCCAAGACAGTCAGGACTACACAGAGAAACCATGTCTCAGAAAACCTTAAAAACAAAACAGACAAACAAAAAACCTAAATAGAGAGTATTAAAAGCTGCAAAGGAGCAAGGTCAAGTCACGTATAATATGGAGCCCACCAGAGTAAGACTCAGTGACAATCTGACAGAAACGTTTAAGTGCAGAAGGGCCTGACAAGATGTATTCTAAGTTCTGAAAGACAACAACCCTGCAAAACTGTATACTAAAATTGAAGAAGAAATGAAAACATTGCATGGAAAAAACACATTTTTTGAAAAATGATTTTATGACCACTAAGCCATCTTTACAGAGGACACTAGAAGGGAGACGCTGGTCCGACAACAAAGATAAACACGTTAAAGATGTCACAGGGAGTACATAAATAATTCCAGAACATTAATTAAAGGAGGTCTAAGAAAACACAACAAAATGGCCGGAATTAATACACATTGTTTGATAACAACACTTAACATTAATGGTCTCAATTCTCCAATAAAGAGATGTAGACTAGCAGGATGGATTATAAAACAGGACCCATGTGGTGGTGAGGGCAAGGGAAAGATGCCCTCCCCACCCCACCCTTGCCCCTACTACCTGTGGTGGGCAAGGGAACATACCCATCCTTACCAACTGCAGCACTCCGGAAAGTGGGCCCTGCAGCACCGTTAGAACCATATGGTGGTATGGGTGGGGGAGAGACACCCCGCACCACCACAGTCCCCCATCTCCCACACCCACACCCACCCCCGCCTGTGGCAGGTGGGAGAGCTGGCCCTGAGGTCATAAGAGTGGGAGAGCTGTCCCTGTCCCTGCTCCTCACCAGCTGAAGCACTAGGAGAGGGGCCCCTACACGTGCCTGGGCAACACAGTAGATCTGGCCCTAATGAGGTAGGTGTAGTGGAGCCGACCCTGAGGTTGTGAAAACAGGAGAACTGGCCCCGCCCCTTACACCTATAGCAAGGGGTGTACAAGCCAGCGCAATGCTGGAGAGCTCCCCGTGGTGGTGAGGCTAGGGGAGAGCTAGCAGGCTGACCAAACCGTCAACTACCCCTGCCCAGAACCAGAGTTGACCCACCCCAATATTCACCCCATCTATGATCTGCTGGAGCACGTGAAGGGGCCGGTCCTGCAGATTCAAAGCTGCAGGATCTCCATGACACACGGCAATAACAACAGAACACCCAAGAGGATTGCCATGGAGGACCCAGCATCCAGAGTGGAGCAGAAACCAGAGGTCTTGAACCAGACAATGACTCTTTGCAATGAACACTTGCAAATAAAGATATATGGATTAAAAAGAAAAAGAAAAGAAAAGGAAATACTACACCTTTAATCCCAGCACTTCAGAAGCAGAGACAGGCAAATCTCTGTTTAAAAATAAGAAAAAAAAAGAAAAAGAAAAAAATAATAATTCTTTTAATGTGCATTGATATTTTGCATGCATGTATGCATGTGTGAGGGTGTCAGATCCCCCAGGAACTGGAGTTACAGACAGTTGTTAGCTGTTATGTGGGTGCTGGGAATTGAACCTGGGTCCTCTGGAAGAGCAGCCAGTACTCTTAACCACCTCCAGCCTGGGATCTCTGTAAATCTGAGGCCAGCCTAGTCTACAAAGTGAGTTCCAGGACAGCCAGGGCTGTTACACAGAGAAACCCTGTCTTGAAAAACAAAAAAAAAGAAAATATTAGACCAGTTGGCATTTGACTGAGCTTTTCTGGACTCAACTGATTTGACTATAGCCTGTAAGAAGAGTTAAGAGTCTGATCCACATGTCCATTCTAGAGCTTAGGCTGAAGGGCAGTAGCTACCCCGGGGATGATGTCATAGTGTTATCAGGAAAGCAAACCAATCATACTAACAGGTTTTGAGCTTTTGTTCACATTCTTTCCACTGGTCAAAGCAAGTCGCACACACAAGCCCTAAGTCAAGAGGTGGGACATGCACTGTGTCCCCCCACCTTTAATCCCAGTGTTCAGCAGGCAGAGGGAGGCAGATTCAAGGCCAGCCTGGCCTGTAGAGTTGGTTCCATGGCTATATAAGACCCTGTCTCAAAAAAAAAAAAAAAAAAAAAAAGAAAGAAAGAAAAGAAAAGGAAAGAAAAAAGGGTATAGTTAACTATATTCTTTGAAATAACTGTGTTAAGGAAAGAAATTATTCTCTGTAGCATATGAACTTCATGTAAGCTTGTATCTTTCTCATTTAAAACAAAGAATGAAAGAAAGGAATTAGCCCATTAATTATTTAAAATACATGGTGCAACTGTTCCTATGAATTAATCCAAGGCACTTGGAAGACAATTACACTCTGTGTTAATAACATTGCCAGGCTTTTCCAGTATGCTGCCCTCCGAAGAGTACTGTGACTTTGTTGACAACGTTCACTATTACATATGCATATGGAAAACAGGCATTTTCATCAGAATTACCGTAATAGCATTAAGAGATTATTACTTTTTCCAGTTTCATTGGAAGAACATTCGCTAAATCAGATTATTGTTTACTTGACTGCTCTTCTCTCTGTCCTGTACATTTAGGTAACTAGAACCCTGGAAAATATAAACTTCAGGATAAAAACATGATTTTATACATTAGTGATCTCAAATAAAAGAGGAGTGCTACCTTCGTGCATCACTTCTTTCAACAAAGTTAAGTCTGCATTCTGCTTAGGAGAGATAACACTTTTTGTCCCTGTAGGTGGCCCCCTGGTGTAGCCATTAGTTGCTAATTACTTGCAAACAAATAAACAATTAACTCCTTAAGCTGCTGGCTGGGCAAGTGTTCATTGACTTGCTAAAACTTTCTAAAACAGGATTTTAATTAGTGACGTGCAAAACCCAGCCCCCTAGTCAACAAAGCTATAAGGTGAACTGCTGGCAGGTCCCAGCTCTGCACACGTGAGGCAGGAGCCCTCCAGCTCTGGGCGACACAGAAGAGGATGTCTCCCAGCCTTCGGGAAGGTGCTCAGCTCCAGAAAAGCAAACCCTCATCCTGCTCCTTCTCAATTGAGAGCATTTTAGGACTGGACCAGAAAAAAGATTGTGGACCGTCAACAAGACCCCACAGACCGTGGGCAGACACCTGCAGCGACTCAGGTATGCCACAACTTTATTTTTAAATCTGTCTGCCTTTTTAGTTTGCTCTTTATTTCACACAGTATGGAGTTAGAAACTACGATTCCATTCTGTTCCATAAATGCAAAAGGCCCCTAACAGGATCATAAGAGAGTAGAATGCCTGCTGGGAATAGACGTTATTCAGTCATAGAAAGAACTACCGTTTGCTTCGGAAGACCCTCTGTATATGTTTGACACATCAGGCATTCTAAATCTCTTTTCAGTGAGAAGTAAATGGCAGAGTCTAAAATGTTCTCTCACTAAGGCAGAATTTCTTTTCTCTTCTATCCTTCCTTCCTTCCTTCCTTTTGAAATTGAATTGAAAAATTCTCCAGGAAATTTCAAAATAAGTTACTGAAATGACTTTTTCCTGAATTTGCGGAACACAGGCAATCTAAGATGGAGTTTATTCTTCTGATTTTAGAGAAATGCGGCAACTCATGCCTACATGCCCCAGATCTTCCCAGTGAGCTCTCATTTCCTTGTCCCGTGGATCACCCAATGCCAGAAGAAGGGGCTTCGAAATATGAAAATTATTTTTCAGCCTCAGAAACACTCTCTTTGAAAAGAGAGTTGAGCTGGTACAGAGGACGAAGGCCAAGAACTGCTTTTACCCAAAATCAGGTGGGAAGATTTTTCACCCAATAGCAATAACACAAAGGTTGTAACTGATGCCCTGGTGAACAAAAGCTGTTCACTTTGGGATCAGTGTAGAAGTATCATTAATGAAACAATGCACTCATATTTTAACAGTCTCTGGGTAATCGATTTTTTTAATGCATTTAGGTTAACTTCCAAGTTTAAGTGCATTTTTTTTTTATACTGCACAACCGGAAGCCCAATTTTGGTGACATATGGAGTATTATCACATTCAAGAATTCTTTCCTTATTCTAGGTTGAAGTGTTGGAAAATGTCTTCAGAGTGAACTGCTATCCTGGCATTGACATCAGAGAAGACTTAGCTCAAAAGCTGAATCTAGAGGAAGACAGAATCCAGGTAATTTTCAAGCACAGTTGTTACTTGTGATGATAATACAGTAATGTGTCTGAGAACTATTTTATTTTCCCTTGATTTTAGATTTGGTTCCAAAATCGTCGGGCAAAGCTGAAAAGGGCCCGTAGAGAATCACAGTTTCTAATGGCGAAAAAACCCTTCAACACAGATCTTCTGAAATAGTTTTTTAAAGTACACATGTGAGATCCTCTTCCAGTTGCGGAACACAAGGAATCAATAGAATCCCAAGTATTTAAAGTGTTACTGTCTCTTTCCTGTACCTAATGAATATTGTCATGCTTTCTGAAAATATTACAAATAATTATGATTCTAGCATAGTACATATTATATCTGGAGATTTTTAGTTATAATAAATAAAACCTTTCCTATATATTTTAATAAAAATTTTTAAGAAATGATAGCTATTTAATATACTTTATTCTTTGAGAATTTCATAGATATATAGTATATTTTAATCATATTCATCCCTTCTCCTCCTCATAACACTTCTCAGATGCATCCCATTCTCCCCCCTCCCTCCCAACTTCAACAATAACTATTTTCAAAGTGAGTAAAGTTAATGTAATAAATAAGTATGTGTATTAAAATCACTATGTTCATGCATAACTAAGTGATTCCCACAGGCTGGATGCAACTTACAAAATATTTCAAAGATGTAATAACTAAAAAAAGAAGGGTCCAATTCATTTCAATTAGTTTCTTTCAGGTATATTTTGAAACACAGTTTTACATATCTATGTTATAGAGTGAGTCATTTGTGAATCTGCTGTTGATTTCTGGCCATGTGTTCTAACAAATCCTTACAGCACACCAATTTCAAGTTATTTTTTTAAGTCATCATGGCAGAGTACAAATGTAAGACCATCAGTTCTCATATCCCCATTATCGCATTGTACTGGCAAGAAGAATTAAAAGGTGCTTGCTGCCAGGCCTGGAGACTGAGGCTCCATCAATCCCCCAGACCCCACCTGGTAGAAAGAGAAAATCAACACTGGAAAGCAGTTCACTGATCTCCACATGTGCATCGTGAACCTGCACACACACACACACACACACACACACACACACCACACACCACACACACACTACACACACCACACACCACACACACACACACACAC